AAGGATATAGATTTTGACAAAGTGCAAAGTGCAACAATGCAATTACTGCACTGATCCATAAAATAAATTTTAGGTGTGGTCAGCACTTAGCAGTGCAAACATGGCACGTGGGTAGGAGAAAGAAGAAAAGCTGAAATTTATTTTAGCATCTGAAGCTCTATTCAAAGAAAGAGTAAGCACAAAAAATTGCCTAGATATTTAAAAGAGACTGAGATAGTTTGGTTGCTCCTGCTTTCCCCAGTGCTGCCTGAAAATTTTTCGAAGAGGCTAAATCACAAACTTTGAGCAACTGTAACTCGCAAACAAAAAAGAGATTAGAAAATTCCCACATATTTTTTAATCTATGTACTTTTCTCTACCTATCAATGCTAATCTTGACCAAATAGAGTGAAACACGAAGATTTGGCTAGGAAAAGTGGTCTATTCTTGAAATATTCAGCTTTTACTACCACGGATTGCTATGAAAACACAACGGAGCTAAATAAATTATCTTTTTCTGAAAGCTTAAAAAGAATTATAACTCAGGAGAGCTCAGTAAAAAAGATATTGACTAGGAATTAACAGGAATTTTCGTGACAGAATGACAGACAGAATGACAACCCAACTGCTTAGTACCCGCCTACGCAAGCGTGGCGAGTCCAAAAATTATATTAAATATTCGGTAGTTGAAACAATAATAATACAGTAACTTTGGAGGGGGAATTTTGGTAAAATTTGCATTTTGATAGCCATTTGCCAAAAATTTGAACCAATTACGTGCTTAACATACATGTATATGGTCTAGCTGTAGTTTCAGCCATTCAAGGCAATGATGTGTTGGGTGAATTTGCCAGTTTATCTCATACTCAAGGCCACAAATTAAAAGATCAATAAAAAATATTTAGTAATTTGCCAAAATTATGACCTCTCCAACTACACAGTAATGACAATCTCCCCTTCCCTTTTTCTCTCCTTAAATTAAAATAAATAGTTTAAACATTAACACTACAATCTCTACCACTCCCTTTTACCTGCATCTCTGGTCCAGCAGTAAGAATTGCTGCTATAGTGTCAGCTCCAATGGAGTCCACCATACTCTTAAATTTAACAGTCTCTATGTCTGAGAGCTCACGAGATTTCTCAATCTCCAACTCGTTCTGTTCCTTGATGTACTTTAACTCGGCCTCTCTTGCCCTCGTCAGCCTCTCAAGTTCTGATTCCTAGGATTAGTATACTCTAGTATATTCTAGTAATCTTTAGTATACTCACGGCTTCAATTCTAGATGCTTGTGCTTTATACCTGGCTTGTTCTACAGCTGCTTCTCCTTCAATTTGGCTGCCTCAGCCCGAGACTGAGCCTCTGCCTTAGCCTGTCCGGTGGATTCAACAGCAGCACTGAAAAACAAAAATTAACAATAAATAAATAAATAAATAAATAAATAAAAGCAAAAGTAGATTAATAGTAAAGCTACTCTTGATAAGGATAGCATTATTTTACCACTCTACCTGTTAGCTTGAAGTTCAAGTAGATCCTTGCGAGATTTCTCAGCCTCAGCTTCATGAGTACTCTTTTGTCTCTCAAGAGCTCCTTTAGCTTTCTGTTCTAGTGGCTCAGCTTCATGACTA